AATTGCAATACTCGACATTAATATGAGCTTGAAAAATTCGGGAAAGTAACGGACAGTATGGTACAACCAATTTGTTATCGATTTCAATTTCTTGAATCGAGTTGCCAAATTTGGTCTTGATTCTTGCTTTGAAACCACCATCTTCTGAACTTCGCCTTCTGTAGAGTGGATAACCATCTTCACCTGTTTGTGTATCTTGAATAAGTTGTCTGGGATACCTTTTGGTACACTTTCCATCTTTCATACACGAAGATCCAGGATTGATACTACCGCAAGGTCCATGAATCATGTTTTTCACGATAACCTGAAATAGACGGGGATCTTGTTGACGATCTGGTAATTCTGCACTAATAACGCTGTCTATTTCATCTGGCTTAATTTTGTCTTTCAACCATATCAATATATGAGAATGAGGCAGACCTCTCTTTTGCCATTCAATAGAATACATCCAACATTGTGTTGGTCCAAATACATGGCTTTTGGTAATAATATTCATTAATTTTATGAGTTTTTGCTTGAATACTCTTGCCAGCAGATCATGACGATCGGACGGATTTTGACCATCTAATAGTTCTTCTTGAATTTCTTCCCATGTTGGATTGCAAGTGAATGTTACAAATAGATCAGGTCTTCCGTAGTTTCTCACGTATGTCATAGCATCTTGTGTATATTCGTGCATGTGACGTGGACTTCCAGTGAATGTAGATGGTAGTATTACTAATTGACCAAGGGTATCGGCGTTGCCATCATTAGCTATTGCGTCTCTTAAGTGAATGTATTCGTCTACTCTCAGTTTCTTTTGGTTAAGTCGTATGAACCATAACCGCTCACTTTCGATTTTAGCGTACATGTCAACGATAAATTGATGAAAAAGTTGACGTCATCTTAAGATATGATTTATAGCACCAGCTCGCATCATTATTCTGTAAGCATAAAAATCCATGGCCGAAACTTTTTTGCGATCAACGGGCGTTCCTGTTGTCGGATCAGTCTGCATTATGAGAAAATGATATCCATCTTCTCCCTCCCAAAAGATCAGTGGATATTGCAACGCATCATATGACCTGTGTGTTTCTGCCACTCTCTGTAACTGATTGTTTTTCTTCTCCAAAATGATGTCCCGTCTCTCGAATTCGTTACCAGCAATGATGACTGCTACTTCATTTGTAGAAGGTTCGTTGAAGCGTCTTGCATGCTCCCTAGCAGGCTTCTTGTCTGCACTGATAACCACTCTGTATTCGTCAGAAAGCATCTTCTCTAGAGTAGACTTGAAAATATGGACATAGCTGTTATATTGATGAAGCATTCGTTGCAAATCTATAACAATATCTTGTCTTGTACCTGGAATATTATTGCATCGTTGTCTCGCCTGTTGCTGTTCATCTCCCATGAAATAAATTTGAAGAAATTTAGGTTCTTCATTGGTCAGTGGTAACAACGATCCTATGCGATGGTAAACTTGACCTTGAATTTTGAATGTAGGCATGAAACCTGGCTCACACACCTCGCTTGTAACACCAAATGACGTCATTTGAAAACATGAATTATACTTTCGAATGTTCTCCAAGAAATGCTTTGATGTTGTTGTTGTGCCGGACATTAATGATTCCAATGGTTCAGGAGGCTGTCCAAATGATGGCAGTTTTACTTTACCATTGGAACAGCACATATCTGGTGCTTCGCCAGACCACTTGAGTGCATCACAATATGAGCAAATCTCTGTCATTCGACCAATATAAAGTTGAGGGTGATTGTCATAATTTTTGGTTGGATCATATTGAAATGCTTCCCGGTCCATGAATGACCAACGTGATGCTCGTGAATTGGAACGTCTTCTTCGATCTTCCTCACGCCGTACTTGTTGTTGTTCTGAAGACTCAGCAGCTCTTGAAGCTGCTTGTCTTGTCCGTTGTTCTTCAAGCCGAGTTGTTGTTTGCTCTGGTGTTTCAGCAGCTCTTGAAACAGCTTGCCTTGTGAGTTTATCTGTATTCCGAATAGTTGTTTGTTCCGCTGTCTCAGCAGCTCTTGAAGATGCTTGTCTTGTTCGTTGTTCTTCAAGCCGAGTTGTTGTTTGCTCTGGTGTCTCAGCAGCTCTTGAAGCCGCTTGCCTGGTTCGTTGTTCTTCAAGCCGATTACTTGCTTGTTCTGGAGTCTCAGCAGCCCTGGAAGCTGCCATTCTTCTTGAAGCTGATGTGCTTCTTCCCAAAGAACTTCTTTTTTTCAGTGGCATCGCGTAATATTATCGGAGTAAGTAGAAACGTTAGAAGATATTGTACAAAACTGTGTAGTTTTTTGATAAATAACGATAAAAAAAGACGTCTATATATATCACGAAAAGAATACGAAAATATTTCGATTGTTTTACTCATGACATCATTTAAAAATTCGTATAATAGCATATTACACGTCATAAGGAATATGATGCGTCATTGTAATCCATAACAAATGCCAAAGATACAAAGTAATATTCAAGGCATGTACCAGAACTGACTACGTAATCATACAATCATATGGTATGTATATCTACATTACGTATGGAATTGCCATTTGAGTCAGCAGAAATAAAAACAAATACATCATTATTTTAAGCAAAAAATACGATTCATATTCATACATTTTTCAGTGTGATGCGATATGAAACCCACATAAAAAATTTCGATAGAAATATAAACCAATTCTTTCTCATTGTATCAATTAAATAATGGAACGCATTTTATTTCACCTTTATTCGATTTTAATCCATTAAAATTTGGTAAAAATCAATTATAATCGATCACAATTTTTCTGTCTTGATATTTCCTTTCAATATTTATGCATGCATATATATCAGGTTGATAGTGATAGGCAAAAATTTCACAAATCAAAATCACAGAAAAAGAAGATTTTTAAATTTCTGAAATATTGACATAAATGCAATTTGAAGGAGCTTGTGTATATCCAGGGAGAGAAAACACAGATAGAAGATATAGATACATAAAATATATGAATGCTAGTGCATGTGCGCTCAGACGGCCTTCGGCCGCCTTCGCTACAGATATTTTTTCCATTATTTTTGGAATTATGATATGAATATATGTATATATATACAAAAATCGTGTAAATTGTAGTAGATGTGCGCTCAGACGGCCTTCGGCCGCCTTCGCTACCGATTAATTGACTGTTTTGAAATGCTGCAATCCTATTGGTCAGTTACATTTGCAGCCTGTAGCAAGGAAACGATTGATTTTTTTTCGAAAAAAAGTGGACGTCGACCTTTCCCAGGACTCAGAAAAGAATTATGGAAAGTTTGGTGACTATAGCTATAACAGGGACTGAGTGCATCGCGAACAAACAAACACACAAACACACAAACAGACATACTTCTTTATATATATAGATAGGCTTTTATCAAACTCGATATCAGTATGCGTATCAGCATCAGCATCAACGTCGATATTGAAATCAGAGTTTGTGGCATTTAACCTACTTTTAAACCTGATTTCAATATCGACGTTGATGCTTAAACGAAATTATCAATCATTATAAATCTCAATACTTTTTCTGAAAGCAAGTTATGTTATAACAACTAATCTTTGTTTTTTGTTTAGATTCAAATCTATCAGTCTATGTCGGTGTCAATATCAAGTTTACAAGTAAGCTAAATTGCCGAAGTTCATATATTTTTCTTTTCTATCATAGATTGATACTAACTTATGTATCGTAAGAAATATTGGTATGTTCTCTGAAGGTAGTTAAAATTATATCAGATAACCTTTCTTTTTGTTTTTAGATTCAAATCCACGGATTAATATGGGTTTAAATATCAAATGTGGGTGCAAGATGAATTTTGGAAATAAATATTTTTTTCTTTTGAGTTTAATTGGAGATATGGATAAATATTGGTATCAGTTCGAAGACTTGAAGTGATTTGAATACTTGAATAGAATATAGTTATATGAATTTTCTTTTATAGGTTGATGTCAATATGAATTTCAATATGGATCGTTATGTACATTGAAAGGGTGGTTTATTTTTGTGATTATACTGCTCTCAGTTATGTTATCAGTTGAAGCATTAGAGTAAGTTCTTTTCTACAATTAATAATTCTTCTTTTCTGTTGTAGGATGGTATACTCATCAAAGCAAGTTTGGACTCAACAACTTTGTGTTAGGAATAACGAAGCAATGTGATGGAAGAATAGTGGTTGCCGGAACTGCCATTCATTTCAAACTATAATCCAGTTGGTTGTGCCTTGAATCACTCGAGAACAGACCTAGCAAGAGATCCGTAAGTTTCACTGATGAAAGGAGGGACCGAAAGTAGTTTTTCCATATAGATTCCATTAGTTCATTTAAAGTTTGAGTGATCATCGAATGTTTGCATTGTTTTCGGACAATGATACGAAGCATTTTTGAGAAATAATTTTGAGGTCCAAAGAACTCGTTTGATAGAGAAGACCAAAGCTCTCTCGATCTTCGAAATACTTAAGTCCGTATGTATTTCCATTAGAAAGTTATAAATATTTTATTGAATGGTGAGGTTTCAGCAAACCAACCACATGTCAGCTTAAAATGTACTTAGACATAGGTATTCGAACTTGGCCCAAGTATAAAAAGTTTGGCTATAAATTGGATTAGTAGTTGATTGAAATAGCAGGATCTTAATCCGAGTTCATCAGATATATGAGTGAAGAGCACAGCCATTGTACCGTTTAAGCAAAAAAATCGATAAAAATAAATTTAATAATGAGAGAGAATTAAGTGTTGCGTTTGACAGAGCGATGTCGATTGTACATGAAAATAATATTTTCTCAACACTTCCTTGTGTTGTTGTGGAGATTCACGATATAAAACTAAGTGAACGCAATGATAATGGTTTTTACTTCAAAATAATGATTTTTTGAAGAAAATATTCAGAAAATGTTTATTATATCATACACGTTAGTATGAAACAATTCTTGGCACAGAGTTAGCTCATGTATGTTATTTTCATATATCAAGCAGTTTTAGTGAATCATTGCTTCGAAAAATGTCGCCCTACACTTTGTATCACAAAAATGTCGCCATACGTTTTTCTAGTAAAATTGAATTTTCTTCAGAACGGAGCGATATTTTCAATTGAGTTTTTGGAGTATTACTCTACTCTATGATCCTGAACAAAGATCAAATTTTTGTTGCAAACAGTTAAGTATTCATTGAGCTATAGCAAAAACAAAATTAAAAATGTCGCCCTACATTTCGTCTAAAATTCATTTTTCTTTTATCTTATATAAAATTTTTGCACTAACGAACTTTATGGAACAAACCTCTTTTATTTCTCAAATTATTTTTATCTTAGTTCTCTCTGATATACAGCCAAATTACAACAAAAAAAATTTCTCCAAACGAAACGCCAATAATTTTAATGTCGCTCTACGCAAAAATGAAAAAGTGTCTCAACGCTCATTATCAACAGTTTTTCATTCATAAGACTTTCTCTAAAGCTAAAAATAAAGGCATATTCTAAAAGCTCTTGATGAATACTACAACTCTAGCTGCAAAATTAATTTAAAAAAAAAAGCAATGGAATAAAAAAAAATTGGTTTTCTCCTGACAGGTGGCATGAGAAGCTAGGTATTTAACACTGTTGCTATGATTTCTCGGAAACTAAAACACGTGGGAAATTGATTTTTTCAGAAGTGAATGATCATCCTTAGACCAGTAAAATAAAAAAAAAATTATTAAAATTGATTGAGCGAATCTCGACTTAAAAGCATTTTTCTTTGCGGAACACAACGGTGCAATGGCTGTGCTCTTCACTCATATTTAGCCCAAACGCGGACTTATTTGATTTTCACGATTTTTTGCAATCCATTTTAATTGATTAATGCGTTCTGATCGATTAAAATAGATTCCAAAAAATCGTAAAAATTAAAGAAATCTATCGTTGGGCTGGAGAAATTGGATTAAAATCGTGCTATTTTAATTAACTTTTTATCAAGAAAAACATAATCGTTGTAATCCAGCTTCTAGCCATTTTTTT